TTTGTTTTTCTCTCTTTGTAGCTGCTATATTTCCTTGAGCTCCCATTTGTGGGTGCAGAAATGCCAATTTGTTTTTAAATAGTTTTCTCTCCTTAAATTTAGATAGTAGATCTTACTTACATTTTATTCTTTCTTTTAAAGGGGTTACAATTTTTATTTACATTACATAATGCTACTCCCAGCAGCTTCTACATTCTTCTATCATGAAGCTAATTAAAATTTTAATTTGTTTCATAGAAATGGTCTCAAAGTCTTGGGATCTAGAATCAGGCTATTTAGTGATCTTCATAATTGACAAAGAATTCAAACTTAGTCTCCTGGTTTTAAAGAGACCTATTTACAAAATGCTGTGTATTTCTTGAAAAAAATGAAATGTTTGAAATATTTTATTTGGGATGGAGTTTAACTCAGATCACACTGAAATAATCATGTTTTCAAGGGCTTTCCATTCATTTTGACCCACAAATGACCTCCAAATAAAAAAAAAGAGTACAGGAAAAATGCACCCATCTAAAATGTCCAGTAAACTTACAAAAGTTTACGCCATAAAATTATAATTATTAATGTGGCAGGGCAAAATCGTTAAATGTAGGGGAACTAATCACACTAATTGTATTTAATTATAGATAGTCGGATTTTTGGAAAGGACAATTTTCATCCAGTTTCTAATCTTCTCTTCTCAACAACCCTCCAGTCCCAGGCAGGTTGGTGAGAAGTTGATAATTGCATACGTTGTGGGAAGAGGAGCTGCAAGAGGTGAATTATTTGAACCCCTTTTAGTTGGGTTCCAGGCCAGGGTTTAACACAGCATCATCCAAGGATCCTGGTGGTGATGCTTTCTGTTCTTGCAATCCTAGATGTCTCTACAGTTTTCAATACCATTAGCTATGATATTCTTCTGGAATGAGTGAGGGGCAGGGCCCGGAGACTAACACATATGACGAATGGTTGCAGAAATTGAGTATGGATAGTCTAGAGAAAAGGAAGACTAGGTGTGACATGACAGCAGTGTTCCAATATTTAAGGGATTGCCACAAAGAAGAAGGGGTCAACCTATTATCAAAGCACCTGAAGGCAAGACAAGAAGCAATGGATGGAAACTAATCAAGAGAAGCAACCTAGAACTAAGGAGAAATTTCATAATAATGAGAACAATTAACCAGAGGAATCCCTTGCCTTCAGGAGTTGTAGGTGTTTCCTCAGTGGAGGCTTTTAAAAAGAGACTGGACAATTGCTTGTCTGAAGTGTTTTAGGATCTCCTACTTGAGCAGAGGGTCAAGATCTCTTCCAACTCTGTTATTCTATTCTATTCTATTCTATTCTATTCTATTCTATTCTATTCTATTCTATTCTATTCTATTCTATTCTATTCCATTCCATTCCATTCCACTCCATTCCATTCCATTCCACATATTCTATTCTATTCTATTCCATTCCATTCCATTCCATTCCATTCCATATATCTATTCCTATTCCTATTCTATTCTATTCTATTCTATTCTATTCTATTTCATTCCATTCCATTCCATTTTCCCTATTCTATTCTGTTCTGTTCTATTCTATTCTATTCTATTCTATTCTATTCTATTCTATTCTATTCTATTCTATTCTATTCTATTCTATTCTATTCTATTCTATTCTATTCTATTCCATATTCTATTTCTATTCTATTCTATTCTATTCTATTCCATATTCCTATTCTATTCTATTCTATTCTATTCTATTCTATTCCATTCCATTCCATTCCATTCCATTCCATTCCATTCCATTCTATATTCTATTCTATTCTATTCTATTCTATTCTATTCTATTCTATACTATTCTATTCTATTCTATTCCATTCCATGTTCTATTCTATTCTATTCTATTCTATTCTATTCTATTCTATTCTATTCTATTCTTCATTCCATATATTCTATTCTATTCTATTCTCTATCTATTCTATTCTATTCTATTTCCATATTCTATTCTATTCTATTCCTATTCTATTCTATTCCATTCTATTCTATTCTATTCTATTCTATTCTATTCTATTCTATTCTATTCTATTCTATTCTATTCTATTCTATTCTATTCTATTCTATTCTATTCTATTCTATTCTATTCTATTCCATATCTCTATTCTATTCTATTCTATTCTATTCTATTCTATTCTATTCTATTCTATTCTATTCTATTCTATTCTATTCTATTCTATTCTATTCTATTCTATTCTATTCTATTCTATTCTATTCTATTCTATTCATTCCATATATTCTATTCTATTCTATTCCATTCCATTCCATATATTCTATTCTATTCTATTCTATTCTATTCTATTCTATTCTATTCTATTCTATTCTATTCTATTCTATTCTACTCTTTGTTTATCAGTGATTCTTAAAGACATATAAACCCAGCTAGATATTTCACATTTTCCCCTTTCTTCCATAATACATAGTTTTACTAAACCAGATCCAGCAGAATATTACATTGGTGGTCCACTATAGGAAGAAATATAGTGTTGAGATACGGTTTTTAAACTATAAAGTGCTAATGCTAGCAATGTCTGTAAAGCAAAGGAAAGCCAAAGTAAAATCATAATATTATATTTTTTCACTTAGTGGCTGCTTCATTTAATAATCAAGTTGCTGGTCCCAATTGCGATCAATAAAATGAGGACCACTTGTTAAGTTTTCCAGAACATTCTGGGATATTTTGTTTTTATTTATTAAATAAAATATATAGAAATATAGAAATTGTCTAATCTTGTTTTGAATATTTTGTTAAGTGCATGTTCTTTCTACTTAACTGCTCGTAGTGGAAAATCATAGTAGAGGAGAATTCTATGGCATCTTAACCAAAGAAGCATCGAATTGTATGCCTTAAATCTCCTCTCTCCAAAAAAAAAAAAAAAAAAACTCTTGAAATTTTCCCCTGTTCTTACAGATACTTTGAAAAGTCTGTCCTCTGTGTAGGGACATTTTAATTTTAAAAAAATGCTTAATCTGTGCTTTGGTGCTATTTTTCCATGTGCTTCTTGATCCACCATAAAATGAGCATCATAAGTGATGATGGAGTGACAGTGTCAAGATTTGTAGATCACTGAACTGCACTTTTCAGAGAAAAGAAATGGGAACGTGTCTTGGGGATGCAATTTTCAGTAGGACCTTCTGCTATTTATAGCATGTAGGTCCACTTTCAATCTGTCTGTAAACTTCTTCCCACTATCTCTTAAAAAAAAAAAAAAACACGTAGAAGTGTTTTTCTTGTGGAAAACCACAGTTAGTGAATCTCACATTTTTGTCTGAGTGCATTGGGGAAAGACTTCCATTCCTGTTTTTTAGTGTCCAAGAATAAGGAGTGAATCCTGTCACCTCTACATGCATGTTTATGTTTTCCGTTTTGCAGACATAACAATGTGAATGCAGGATAGAAATAGGACAGTCTTATAAAAAAAAAAAAAATTAAAGGCTTCTGTGCAGTCAAACACTACACTGTGAAAAAAAAATCACTTTATCCAGCACATCTTACTGAAACTCAGTCAAATGGTCATAATTCTGCGATTCTTTCAGGCTGCCTATTTTTCTATTTTCAGGCATGTGATTTTATCAGGACAGTCTTGTGGTCTGGGGTGTGCAATTGGAGCTTCCCTTGGTGGAATTAAATGACCCAGAACAAATGCAGTAGTCAATCTTCTTTATTGCTGAAATCAATAAGCAGATCTATGCAAAGTGCTGACAGGGAGCAAAAGAGAAAAAAAAAATAGCTGATCTTTGAACTTGTAAAATGTTACAGCCAATCAAGCTCTTTACTCTCATTACACTTATTTCATCAAAAGGTAGTTTTTTTTTTTCCTGGACATAGTAGCATGAAGAGCAGGTATAATAGGTATGCACACATATGCACGGATCTACAGACATTGTTCAATTTATTATTTAGAGCAGTGGTTTTCAACCTGTGGGTCGGGACCCCATTTGGGGTCGAACGACCATTTCACGGGGGTCGCCAAACAACGCAGTCCGCCATTTTTTTCCCCTTTTCCTTAGCTGTGCTACTCCCTTTTATTCTATTGGCTTTTGAAAGCCAATAGAATAGACTCTCTTGAATAGAGTCTAGTTCTATTGGCTTTCAAAAGCCAATAGGAATTGTCCAGGCTGTCTCTGCCCTGCTGAGCCCGCCAAAAATCCCATTCTGCAAACGGTGCTGCACCAATTGAGTAGTCCTCAACTTATGACCGGTTGAGTAGTCCTCGACTTACGACTGGTTGGGGGGTCACGGCATTAAAAAGGTTGAGAACCACTGATTTAGAGATTATTTTGTTAGTTTTACACCATAAATGTGAATGTTTGTGGGGTTTCTTTATGCTTATATCAAGAGGAAAAAAACATTTGGTGCACTGGAAGATATCACATCCAATTTTAATTTTGCTTAGGAAATAAAAATCAAATGCACAGGTTTAGGATGGGAGTAGGCATTCTACCTACTTTAATTAACAATCTGCTTATTAAAATGTCTATAATTGTTAACATCCTAATCAAATCTAATTTTCTTCAAAGGTTTTAGATCGGTTTTCATTCCACTTACTTTTAGCCTTGGATTGCTTTACTAGTGTAATAAATATGAGCATTTAAAACATAAGAGATAGTCATTAAAATTCAGCTTTTTGACAATAATGCTATGCTTGGCTATTTTGAATTGTTGACTGATATCATGAACTCGCAAGATTTGATAGCTTTTAAACCCATGGAAAATAGTTGTCTTATGATTGAAGCAATGAAAAAGAGGCCATTGTCCAAATTTGGCTTAAGGAATCTGTTATGTTCTGATAGAGTTGTTTATAACATTCTGTTTACTTCATTGAGGGAGGATTCAGCAAAAGGATATGCTTAATTATATCTGTTTGCAAACTATTAAAACTGTTCTCCAAAACCATTTCTTGCTAAAAGTTTAAGGAATATATGAATGCTTTCATTTATTCTTACACTGGAATTCTATGTTTTTTTAAAAAAAAAATACAGATATGCAAGAGCAAGAACCATTTCATTGGATGGAAAAGTTTATAGAATCCATCATGTTTCCTCCAGCATATAGTATGCCACACTTCAGAACCAATTGTTAAATACTATGACATGTCTCTAGCAATCAGAAAAAGGAGCTGGGAGGAATATGTAACACAATGGATGGGCTTGCATTTTGGATCTCTTGATTCTGATATATTATGCAAGCATGGCTTAGTAGTTGACAACTTGCAAGCCGGAATGGAAAAGAATGAACTTTGGTGTGAAGATCTGAAAGAAAAAAGTGCTTCCTTGCCAGATTGCTGTCATGTTGGAGAGTTGGTAGTCTTCCCCTCAAAACCTTTCAGAAACGTTTCCAAAGAATTAGATGAAAATGAAAATCATCAAGAAGAAGAAGAATTTCTCTCCCTGGAAGCTAGTGTGGAAACTTTAGTCAATGTTTCTGTTGGAAGTGATGATGGCAAGGGTGGCATCAAGAACACGGACCTCCCACTGGAGACCATCAACTGCCAGTTTATGCCTGTTGAAGTTAAATTGTTAGCTGAAAATAACAGTTTAGAGGAGCCTTCGGTGAAAATCATCTCAAGAGGAGAAGCAAAGGAAGAATGCAATCATACCACTGAACCAACTGAAAAAATGAGCACTTCTAATTATGAGAGAGCAACCAAAAACAATAGTAGAGAAGAAGTTATCATACTTGGATACAACTCTAATGAAAGTGAAGATGTCTCAAAAGAAAAAAACTGGAACCATTCTGTGGAAAAAAGTATGTTGGAGGAGCAGATAGTTCATGGAGCTACAGCTGTACAATATGAAAAACCAGATGTTCTACATGAGAAAAATGACTGCACTTTATTCTATGATAAAGATAAAGATTGTGGCAATGATGCAAACATAGGAGATTCTAATAATTCTCTTCCACACTCACCTGGTTCTCTCATCTGGTCAAAGGATAATCATGTGGATGCGCATAATGTTACAAATTCTCAGAATGAATGCATTCTAAATGCACCCTTGGTGTCAGAAGAATCTGATTTAAAGAATAAAATGGTCACATCCCAATCTACAGACTGTCAAGTCGTCCTGCGCAAAAAAAAGGTAAGTTCAAGTTTTCAGACTTACATAGAGATAGACAGACAGACAGACAGACAGACAGACAGATAGATAGATATTTTCTTGGTCTAGGCAGAAATGTTTGTTGATGTAGCTCAGTGAAGCAATCAATCCAATCCAGTATAAAATTCAGACTTCAAAATTTAGTATCTTTAAAAGAAAGAGTTTAATGAAGATGAAATAAAGCTATAAATATTGTAGAGCAGTGGTTCTCAACCTGTGGGTCGGGACCCCATTTGGGGTCGAACGACCATTTCATGGGGGTCGCCAAACAACGCAGGTTCAATCTCAATATTTCTATGTGACAACATTTCAAAACTGATTTTATAGTTGGAATCGGCTGACTTGCTGCTGGAAGAGTCTTCATTGTCATCATAATTGTATTAAAGTCAGATAGACATGTATGTATCCACTCAAGTGGGATGACAACAAACTTAACTAGCTTGTTATTTAGTGTTTCAAATATTTTCTGAAGTCAAAAATTTTATGTTTAGAGTCTAGTTATTGATTGTTTTCAAGGTACATCCTGGTCTGGATCTAAACTGGGGTGAGGAACTATGGTGCTTTTATGACTTGTGGACTTCAACTCCCAGAATTCCAGCTGGCTCAGGAATTTTGGGAGTTGAAGTCCACACATCATAAAGGGGCCATAGTTCTCCACCTCTGGTATATATGATCTTCAGATAAAGTTCCTTCAGTAACCTAAGATGTTCTCATCTACTCCTAGAAATGCAGTTTTTGGAATAAAAGACAAAAAGAGTCAAAACTGAGAAGCTGGTAAATAGAGCATTGTGATGTCATAATGCAAGCTCTTCCTTCTCCAACATAATAAAAGTGTAATCTGGGTCACTTTAACTGGTACATAAATGGATACTTTCAGAAAATGTCCTGAATTGTCCAACAAAGAAAGAAGATCCTAAATTATTTAAATGTATGAAGAGATATTCATATCTCAACCAATCATATAGAAAAGAACACATGAAAATGAATAGTGATTTATGGCAGTCTTGATATTACTATTACTACACAAAGAAAAGCAGGTGCTCATATTAGAAAAATCTAAAAATCTATGGAAAGCATACAGGACATAATTAAAGGTATTATTTTTAAAGGGGGAGGGGGTCAGTAGGATAAGAGATCTAACAGAATTTTTTTGTCACTCTAACTGATTTAATTAAAATTTATGTTTTGTAGTACCCTTGTTAAATTTATTTAGATTACTATGCAATTTGTACTTGGAATTTATCGGCAAACACAGTCATAAATATTATTTCTGTCCCTTTGGAAGCCGTGGAATGCTATCCTACAGACTTTGGCCATGTTTGGATAGAAGAATGATGAATTCCAAACAATCTGAAAACTATTTAAAACAAATGTCGAACAAAACACAGTTACTGATGGGATGATCCTAGACCATTACACCACCACATTTATGCAAATTTGGATTTTGACACATTTTTGTGACAGCAAGCAGTGATAAATTTTACAGACTGCCAATTTTGTCTAGACTGTGAATCCAAAAATCATACTGTTGCAGTTATGCCCCAAGTCAGGAGATATTTGAGTTTCAGCTGCCTAAAATGGTAATAAATGCAGCTTTATATATGACTTTACAAGCATATGCCAGGATTTTGTTAATTCAGATTATGGTTTTAAAATGTAGACGAATCGTTCAAAACTTCTACTGTAATATGTCTGATTATTTCTTTTGGATATATGTGTATGTGTGCATGTGTGTTTGTGTGTGTGTGGATATATGTGTATGTGTGTATATATATATATATGTGTGTGTGTGTGTGTGTGTGTGTGTGTGTGTGTGTGTGTTTTCTGAGGTTTTCGCAGATGTTTGTATGTAGGTCTAGCATTGCTCCTAGAAGCACGAAGCCGAAAACATCAGCCTGAAGATGACGAATGGGACTTCGTTGAAACGTCGCCAAGACACTTCCAATCTGACACGGGAGAAAACCCGAATAACCAAAGACATACACACACACACACACACACACACACACAAACATATATTATTTTTAAGGATTGCTGTAATACTGTAGTACCCATATGTGTAATCATGTTTAATGAAAAGAAAACATTTTTAGGAGCAAATTGTTTTTGGAATGTCCAACCTTGGCAACTTTGGCTGGGGAATTCTGAGAGTTGCCAAAGTTGGACACCCCTCATATAAATGATTATTTCTCAGATCTTTCAGAAAACAAGTTCCCTAATGAAGTTCTATCCTTTCTCACCCAAGACCATATTTTCCTAATTCTCTACCTGTTCCGAATACATAGCGCTATAGTTATTCCCTATTCTAATCTGCTCCTGCCCCAATCTTTCAAGATAACTTTAGAGCAGCATTTCTTTGCAATATAATAATAATAATAATAATAATAATAATAATAATAATAATAATAATAATAATAATAATAAAGTTGGAAGGGACCTTGGAGGTCATCAAGTCCAACCCCTTGCTCAGGGAAGTAAACCTTTACCATTTCGAACAAATGGCTGTCCAGTCTCTTCTTAAAAACTTCCAGTGTTGGAGCATTCACCGCTTCTGGAGGCAAGTTGTTCCACTGGTTAATTGTTCTAACTGTCAAGAAGTTTCTCCTTAGTTCCAGGTTGCTTCTCTCTTTGATTAGTTTCCATTCGTTGCTTCTTGTCCTGCCTTCAGGTGCTTTGGAAAATAGCTTGACTCCCTCTTCTTTGTGGCAGCCCCTGAGATATTGGAATACTTTAATGTGGAATTCTCCAGACAGCGCCTAGATTGAAGTCCACTTATCTTAAAGTTTGTTGTTGTTGTTAGTTGTGAAGTCATGTCCGTCCCATCATGACACCATGAACAACGTTCCTCCAGACCTTCCTGTCCTCTACCATCTTCTGGAGTCCTTTTAAGCTCACGCCTACTGCTTCAGTGACTTCATCCAGCCACCTCATTCTCTGTCGTCCCCTTCTATTGCCCTCGATCTTTCCCAGCATTAGACTCTTCTCCAGGGAGTCAGCTTAAAGTTACCAAGGTTGAAAAACACTAGCTTATAGGCTAGGAGAGTACATAATTTCACCATGAACAATATTTTGTTCTATGTAGAATTGTGGGGAGAGGAGTCACTTTTTAACGTGACATTAAAATGGTAGTTTCCATTTAAAGAATGATAACTTGCAAAAAAAAAAAGAGAGAGAAACTTTGGCAAAAGACTGTAGGTATTCTCAACACTTCTTCTAACTCATAGTAGATTTTCGTTATCATTCAAGATTTCCTTTAAATCACGGTTGACTTTCATTATCACCATGACCTCTAGTGTGGGTATTTTCCCATCCTGCCAGATTTCCCAAATACGTTTTTCTCTTGGGAATTTTTTTTTCTCAATTTATTTTCTCAAAATTTTCTCTTGGGAAGTTTTCAGCAATCAGGAATTTCCAATTAATCAGCAGCTAATAGGAAGGAAGAGTTTTTCTCTGTCTCCAGAGCTTTAGAATACTGTCATCCCTACTGATGTGAATAGATACTGTTTTAAAGGTAAAAGTAAAAAAGTAATGACCCAATCTGTACATTTGGGGTCATGGCATTTTTTCCCCCTTACTGGAGTTGTTGACTGTGTTCATATCACAAAGCTATCCCCTGGACATTTCACAGAAAGAATTCCACAGCCATTATGAAACTTTTTTTTATCTATTTTACCATTTTTCAGTATTTTAGAAGATGCTGTTATAAACAATAATCTAACTACATTTTTAACAGGTGTATAGTTTCAGAATAAAGGTGGTCCTCAACTTACAGCAGTTCATTTAGTGACCATTCAAAGTTACAATGACACTGAAAAAAGTGACTTATCACCGTTTTTCACACTTACGACCATTATAGCATACCCATGGTCACGTGATCAATATTCAGATGCTTGGCAACTGGCCTATATTTATGACTGTTGCAGTGTCCCAGGATCATGTGATCACTTTTTGCAACCTTCTGACAAGCAAAGTCAATGGGAAAGCCATATTCATTTAACAACCATGTTACTAATTTAACAATTGCAGGGATTCACTTAACAATTGTGGTAAGAAAGGTTGTAAAATGGGACAAAATTTACTTAACAAATGTTTCACTTAGCAACAGAAATTTTGGGCTCAGCTGTGATCATAAGTCATAACCCAGTCACATTAAGGTTTATTTATTTATGAGACTTATTATACCGCTTTAAGTGCAAGCACTCTCTAAGCGGTGTACACCAGTAAGCAATGTATATATATATTTACATTGCCCCCAACAATCTGGGTCCTCATTTTACCTACCCCGGAGGATGGAAGGCTGAGTCAACCTTGAGCCGGTGAGATTTGAACCGCTGACCTGCTGAACAGTCAGCTAAAGTAGCCTGCAGTACTGCACTCTAACTGCTGCGCCACCTCAGCTGTATCTTTTTGTTAGGTTACTGCTTATCCCACTGACTCTTGGTGAGGAAAGTCTAATTATGAAATAGACCTTAGGTTGTTTGTGGATAAGGTTTTTTTAAAAAAAATTATGATTCAGTCTGCTTATATGTATTATTTTCTTCATGGTTCAGATGAAGTTTCATTCCTCATGGGACCCATTCTTTTTTTTCCCTACAAAAATATATCTTGAGGAGAAAAAAATGGAATAGTTGCACAGTATGGTAATAACTGGAATAGTTTATCTAAGACAGTGTTTCTCAGCCTTGAAAATTTTAAGGCATGTGGACTTCAGCTCCCAGAATTCCACAGCCAGCAATGCTTGAACTAACAGGAACTAATTGGGACTTTTTTTAATGCTTCAAAATGTTTTTGAAAATTCTCGTTCTTGTCTCTTAGCTGTCAACACCTGGAACCACAGCAGTGGGAAAGGGAGTGGGCCAGCAAAGTGAAGAGAAGTACATAACTTAAGAATAGGTCATTCCAGGATTGTGTCATCTTAAATGTGGTTTGAACTCCGTGCTATTTCATGTCTGATGTCAGATTCTGCTAATATTTTACAACTT